GTTAACTCAACTAGTTTCACAGTTGAACTGAAACTAGTCTGTTGCCTGGCAACCCATAGATTCTATTCTACTGCTCCCTAGCTACGCTGTTGGTGTCCATGGTTACCACAGAGCAGCTACTTAGTAGATAAGATAACAGAAGAGATGTTTATTGTCACTGTACAAGGACAACGAGATATTGTTGGAGCAAGCCTGTAGATGCCTAATATCAGAATTATACAAATAAGAAGTACAATTAAATAATACGATATAGTATACAATATACAATTAATTTGCAGGTGACAGGTATCGAATAAATATATTGAACTTAGTTATACTTAGTTTTTATTATATTATTATACTAGTCCGTATTATGTAACATTATATTGTTCATATTGCACTATATTATATTATATAACTGCACTCTGCATTACTGTGGTACAACACTGCTTCTCTTCTCTGCTGTTTACATCACTTGCTGCTATTTATTTATCACACCAAGTCACTTTAATCACTTTATCTTGTCATTCTCTGCAAATACTGTGTCAATTCTCAATTCCCCCCAGTTAACTTCATTATTCATTTTGTACTGTAGAGACCCCCTGTTTTTATTTTTATTTTTATTTATCTTATCTATTCTGTTTAATGTGTATTTTTTAGCTTTCTTGTCTGTGCTGCTGTAACGCTCGAATTTCCCCTCTGGGGATCAATAAAGTACTATCCTATCCTACAGGACTCCAGTGGGTATTTTGAGAGTCGGGGGGGGGGTCCAGGGAGTGGGAGCTTCAGTGTGATGCAGAGAGTCAGAAGGTGGAGAAGGAAGGGACGGTGGGGGCTTCTGTGATGCAGAGAGTCGGTGGGGGGGGGGGTCGCATCTGTGTCTTCAGAGTCTGGTCGTGTGTGCGTACAGCGCCCTGTAGCGCTTGCCAGAGGGCAAGGTTCCATATGATTGAACCTTTACTCGTATGTTAAAGGAAGTGAATTTTATAACGAAACCAGTGAAATTAGAGTCTGTTGTTGTGAGACTCTGAGATATGAGATTGATAAAGAAAAACTCAGTGAGCTGTAAATGTCCATTATCTTGAACTCCTATGCTGAGGAGGAGTGAAAAGTCCCAGTGATGTCACTCATAGAATGCCTCTTGTCCAATCAGATGGCTTGTTTGGAACTAACGGTTGTATGGGAAATGGACTTGAGCTTGTATATTTCTTTTCTAGTCTCCTGACTACTCAAAATGCTTTTTGCACCCTGATGAGGCTGCTGAGTAAAGAGACCATCAGTATTATCTAATGCCACTCATACATATTCAACTGTTGCCAACGAAGCAGCGGGGGCAACTTGGGGTCAAGTGTCTTGCCCAAGGACATGTTACTGCAGTAGCTGGGGATTGAACCCTCAACCTTCTGCAAGAGAGATGAATGAATCTACCCACAGCCACCCCAAGTTTGTTAGCCATCTTTTACATTTTTTGTTGACAAAGTTGTTTGTTTACTTTTCCAGGCCTTCTCCCATGTGTCCGGACTCTTATCCAAAAGTCAGTTTGAAGGTTTGGAGGGGCTCGTGGCTAAAGACGTGAGTATGAAAACCCACAAAATCCACATGTTTGGAAAATGATTCAAATAAATGTGTCATTCAAGAAATGTTTAAAACAATGCCATCAAAAGAGCCATTCTCATACTAATGACTTTATTTAATTTCCCCCTCCTTGCAGTTGATCGAGAAGCTGCAGGAAAAGTTCAGCCTGCTGCCATTGAGCTACAAGAAAGCCCTCTCTGCAGGCCCTGAAGAGATCATGTGCACCACACTTGCAGACGTGGGAATCTATTATGATGATGACGGTAGGTGGTGATATCTATCTCTTTGTTTGGTTTTTAAATTTAAAATAAATCCCATGAAAGACCAAAAACAACAAAGGTTCTACATACAAGTAAGGTCTGTGTTTCCTTTCTATCATTTAGATTTGTATTTTTCCATAAACACTTACAGTACCGTACAGAAACATGTTTCTTTTTGGGTGGTCTACCATTAACAGCACTCAACACAAAAAGCAAAACTATCTCAGCCCCCCATTTGATGTCTATCAAGACTTTTATAATGAATGACTTACGATTGGACCCGACCATTAATAGATCTATGTAGGCTAACCCACATTTCAATATGTTGACAAAGACTCTTTCAGCTTGGCTAACATCAGTTCATGAAGCTGTAACAGTCATAAGTTCAATCCGCTACTGATAACGAGGCGTGCTTGAGGTTTTCCAGTTCTTCGATATAATCTTGGCCACATTAATAAAAGTCTGCCAGCGTTAACCCAAGTGGGCCCTTTGTGAGTCCGGCTGGGAGAATAGATTTGTCTCCAAGAGATGTGATGTGCTGGGCAACGGTTGATCTAGGTGTGTGTATCTTTAGCCTGATGTGTCAGTGTTGTCCAAAAAATATGAAAATCACACTATGTGATATTTTCTTTATTACAATGACCACAGACACTTAAATTAAATCGTCCATGAATACACAGTTCTGCTGCTCAACACTCATCCATCTGTTTCAGAGAAATATTTGCTTTTATTAGGTGGGAAGTACACTGCCCTTCTGATGTAGGAAACTACAAAAGTAGAGGAACAATGTTTATGAAGAGGTTTTAACAAAATGAATCATTCATTAGAAACAAGTAGAACCTTGAAGTCCAGGATCAAAAGAGTGATTAACATGCTGTTTTGTGCTAAAGCCAGCCTGAACCTCTGTCATGTAAACACCATACCTTGATATCTATTGTGTTTTAAATTCTAATACTAGTTGTATTATTATGTTTTTATTAATGAAAGAGAACTGTATTTCCATTAGATAAAAAAGAACCTTGAGTGAAGAGGGATTCATCTCCCACCACTGACAGACATGCGTCGGATTAGTTATGTCAAGTTGATTTGTGTCATTTCCGTGTTTCCAGGGAGAAAGTTTGTCAGTATTCTGATGCGTTTCTGGTATCTGACGAGCGCACGCCTCCCTGACGACACCGTGGAGGGTGCCCGTATCTTCCAGGTGGCCTCAGGTGCAGAGGGAGAAGCAGAAACTAAGAGACTGCTTACTGCCAATTATGAGTAAGTATTCTTACCTTTTAGCGCTGTAAGGGTTGGTACATCATTTCAGTCTTCCTGTGAATTATGTTACACATGTTTCATTGTCTTTCTGACAGATTCCAAAGGGAGTTTACTAAGGGAGTGACTCCAGACTGGACCATTACGAGGATAGAGCACTCCAAGCTCTTGGATTAAGCTTCTTTTTACCTGAGGCATTTTTGCGTCTGGAAACGATTCAAAGATGTGAAAGCCCCTTCAAAATGAGCTTTGAGCTAATTAAAGCAAAAACTGAGATTGAGAGGCGTCCTCACTGGAAAGTCAGAGGAAAACAACCAGACAAGCTTGGATTCATCCAGTAGTCATCGTAGAAAAGACATAAACCAATCACGTTTGCTGTCAGAACATGTTCTCCAAAACCAACGATCGGAACCGGACAAGGACGTCCAGAGGAACCAGATATTATTTTCAATTTGTAATTTAAAGTGATTGTTAACTGATGTGTGGGACATCAAATGAACGAGGCTGACTGAATATGGTGTAACACCTGTTCCAGAAAAGTCTGTCACCTTCTTTTCTGTTTTGAAAGACTGATTGATACAATACTGTCATACTAGGTAGAGAACTCAGTTTCTTTATGTTAAACTGTGGGCTATGAAGGTGTTTTGAAAGAATTGGCAAAGAATTGTCTCCAAATAAAAAAAATCTCCCCCCCCAACATACACATACACAAACATTTGCAGGTTGCATTCACTTGCCTCTGTGGTACATGCTGTATATGTACTGTATGTGTGGACAGGTGTTTGCAATGTTTGAGGCAGCTGCTGCAGACTTATGATTCTTTTATTAAAGATATAAAAGTTCAAATGAATGATTTTTTTCCGCTCTAAATAAATGTATAAAACACATGTATAAATATGACTTACATCTTCATAGCTAAACATGAATACAGTACATTTACAGACACGTTTCCAAAGTCCATATGACTGATCCTCTATTTTATCTTCTATTTTGATGTTTAAAGTTTAAAAAAATATTTATTTCTGAGTTGATTTTAAAATATAAGGGCATAGTATATTGGGACAATGCAAAACTGATAATAATGTTAATGTCACTTGAAAAATGCAATTACATACTTCAAGAAAGGTTTTTAAAAAATGCAGTAAAAATAAAACTGAAAAGATGAGAAGACATCAAACTCAATTAGAAAATAAACATATCAATATAAAGCTTTATATATCAATCAAACTGTATTGCAGCCTTTGAGACAAATTCAATTGCAATTCAAATGTGCTTTACAGTGGTGTGGAAAAAGGTTTTTGATTGAATAATTAATTAAATAAAGGACAATAAAATAAAGATGGATGATAAAAAAAAGAATAACAGACAAGAAATAACAGACAAAGCAATGATATAATAAATTAATACACAGAACATTTAAAATGCTGTTAAAATACAAAAAATAATGCTAAAAAGAATAAAAAACTATATATGTAAAATTATTTAAAAAAAATCTAATATGTTGTGTTAATAAAGTAATAATAATCAAGATATAAACAATAAAAAACACAATTTAAACATAATTTCCTATATCGATAGTGATAACAGTAATTGTAAATACAATTATATAAAGAACTTCAAAAAAGGCTAAAAAAAAAAAAAAGGCTAAAAAAATGAGTTTTTAGAATGTGTTTAAAAGTCTGAATATCCTCAGCTCCTCTCACATCCGCCGGAAGTCTGTCCCATCGCCTCGGTGCGTAAAAAGTGGAAATTACTGAATAAATTACAAAGAATTTTGTTTCTTTTTAATAATCAAACTTAAATTGAATCCATTTTTTTCCACATCTGAACGTGTCACTCGCTTTACGGAATCCTATTGGTCCGTGCGTTGAAGTTCTCGCCTCCTATTGGCTGAGCGACCTGCCAATCACTGCTGTTCGTATAGTATGTGGTTCCTGTTGTGTGGCTCCGCCGGTGACTATGACAGCAGCCTGTGTGGTGGCTGTCTGACACACGGCGAGGAGTTTACAGGATGCAGACATGAAAACGTGGAGATTAAACACCTGTGATATCTGAAACCCCACGGTCACACCTGAGAACCATGAAACTCGCCACTGTGGCCTTTTACGGGTTTGCTCTGGCTCTTCTGGCGGCTGGCCTGCGAGAGTTGCTGACTGGCTTCGAGGAGAACAGATGTAGTATGACCTATATGTTTGAATATCCAGAGTACCGGGTGAGTATCATACCTCCAATATTTACCTGTAACATTCATGTGTGAGCTATTTCCTCCGACATGCTAACGTCACCCGGTAGTGATAGGCTCTGTGTTGTATTTCCTCAATGGTTTCTATTAATAGTAACACACACTCTCACCTGTTTGTGCTGCAGGTGTGTTTGGTAAGCTATTGGATTAGGTTAGCTCAAATTAGCCGGGGTTATAATAAACCATAAATGAACGGCTGATCCTTGAATCCTCTCAGCAGTAGGTCATCAGCTTTGCAAGGTGCAAACATGTGTTGCACATCAAAGCTACTACAAGTCAGGAGAAGATATGCAAACGTGCTATGAAGGGATGGCCAATGTAGGTCAACTTCTAATGTGTTCATCTGTCCAGAAGTGGAGCACAGCTGGGGGGGGGGGGGGGCTATGCACTGTATGGGCATCGCCTCTGTTGCAACCAGGATTTGCACATTTTTGTTGTTGTTGTTGTGTTTGTATGAAGTAGACTACAAAGAGTCCCATATGTCAGAAAGGATAGTTCTTCCATCTGTACGTATGGTTATTGATGGAAATTGTGTCTTGAGTCAGAGTTAGCCCATGTGTTGAATGTGGGATATATTCATGATCTGCACATATTTAGTGTTTAGAAAAGTCAGATGTTAAAACCTAAAATTGCAATGAAATAATGCAGCAGTGGGTCCCAAAGTAAGACCCGTGGCCATATAAAAACAACGCTACGCCCTTTTGCACTGCCAGCAAAGCAATGGCACATTTCGGGGGAGAGGACTGTCAGGTAGACGTTCGGCCGACAATGAATCTATACCAGGCGTCACACCTATTAAGACAAAGACGACGAGTCTTATCTTGCCCTCAGCTGCACCTGTGCAACGGCTGGTAATGCAGAGAGCTACACTCCTTCCTTTTGACACATACTACCTGTGTGAGAGAGTTTTTTTTTTTTTTTTGTTTCCTCAATCAGCTCAACATACAGATCAGAGCTGGACACTGAAAATGAACTAAGAGGGTCAGTCTCACAGCTGCACCCCAGACTCGAGAAGATCTGTGGGACAAAACAAGCCCACACTGGACACTGAAATGATTGTAGGACTGAAAGTATAATTTTTTTAAGGGGGGGGGGGGCTATTGTTGCCTTTATTAGATAGGATAGTTAAAGAGAGACAGGAAATGTTGGGAGGAGAGAGAAGGGGGGGGGGACACGCAGCAAAGGTCTGAGGTTGGAGTCGAACCCAGGGATGCTGCAACGAGGATTATAGCCTCAGTACATGGGGATGCATGACATAACCGCTAGGCTCTCCGGCGTCCTGAAAGTATAAATCTTTAAAGAAGATTTTCATCATTTTTAGTTTATTTTAAGAGAGTTATTCATCTTCAGAGAGTCAGTCTGTCCATAGCTAGCACCGTCGTTACATCTTACACAGGGGGGGCTTGAAAATGTTTTCATCTGCTGGGAAACCATGGAAAATCCATTTGGGAACCATTGCGTTAGAGTAAAATATGGGGGGGGGACGCTACATATTTGCTATAACTCACAGTTTCTGTGTCTGATTGCTGTTCCTAATGTTTCTACACAACACCTGTGATAGCAACAGGTTTCTCCTGAATCCCTCATAAATAAATAAAAAAGCTGGGTTTTTTTTCATCTCTAGCTTGGCATCAAGTATCTGGAGCTTAACTGATTAGCTAACACTATTAGCCTGAGCTTCATCTGATTGCATTAAAACGGTGTGAAGGCATGGCAGATATAGCCAGGCCTCCATCTAAAAGGTCAAATGTACACAATGCAGAAAGTTATTTATAAACTATTTTCACCCTGGGTCACATTTTCATAATTATTGTGATGAACCTCTAGGATAGGGGTCCCCTAACTTTTTAGCCAGCGACCCCCAAATTACCAGTGCTAGAGACAGGGGACCCCCACATTCTAACCCAACTCAACAGAATAACAGAATAACTTACCAGGTGAGGCACCGGTAGACCACCACCTCCCACCTCTTTACACCCCTTACATCAAACCAGAACTAAGTGGAGGTATGACGATGAATAATGATGTAAGCCGAGGAGCCTGCTGCAGTTAATCAGACGTATACAGTGCTGTGGTTGCTTTATAAGGTAAATTTGAGACTTATCTAAATGGTCAACAGGGTATCCCTGTGCACAGCCTGAACACGCTCTGTGCACATGAAAAATAAATCAATGTGTGGCACACTGAAATTAACTTTATTGTAAAATTTTGAGATATGTTGGCGACATACGTTGACAGGTGTGACAAAAAATCTTATGAAACTGCCCGACGTTGACGTGTCCGTGATTGTTCATGTCTGCCTTCACAGCGGGTGGCTCTACCTCGCCGCGTGGCCAGACTGTACCCGGCGTACGGGCTCTACCTGTATGGAGAGGGCGTGTACGCTCAGGAGACCCGAGCGCTCAAGCTCACCGGTGCACCTGTTCTCTTCCTACCTGGCAATGCAGGCAGTTACAAACAAGGTCAGTAAAGATGTTTTGAAGTATTGGATGTTACATGATGAACTAGCAAGCGGAGAAAAGAGGCGAGGGGGAAAATCTTCATTATATGCGGTGCGCGGTGCTGGAAAACGCTGATAAGACCGCTGCTTGCTGAGGGTCCACGTTAACTCTCGTTTGGGACGTTTGGTCATCTTTTGCTTTCGGTGTGTTCTCACGGGTCATATTGTTTCAAATGAGGGTAAAGGTTTGTTTAGTCTCACATGTCCTCTGGTGTAAGTTACTGACGGTGAGCGGGTTTTTTTAGATTTACTTTCTGAATTTTAAATATTTACCACCTCTTGTGTCTTCTTCCTCTGTGGAGAGCTCAATTATTGTCCCTAAACTCTAAAGAATACAAGCAGGTAGCCGCACTGTACGACTACACTTAACCCCAAGCATCCACCTACACTCTAGTTTATTTTAAGTCCATCCTATATATGGTACTTTGACCTGCAACCTTAAATACTCATTACAGCACCGTGAGTGTTAATAAGTTAATCTGCTGCTGAAAATAGGCCCCTAAATAAAGACACTTGACCCCTGGTGAGGTAAAGTTTACTCATAAATACAAAGCCCCGCCTTTTTCAGAAATAAAATAAAGCTTTTTGGAAATATGAAGCATGATCCATTTTTTAAAAATATTTATCATCAGTTGGATTAGAGTAAAAAAGAGACTACCTTCTAGCTCTTAGTTTCAGTCTGTTTGTCTTTGACTTAAATAAAATAAAACTCTCATGCATACATTTTTAACTCTATATTTAGTTATACTGGTGTTGGAAAAATTTGTTTTTTGGAGATTCAGACAGTCTTCTGATAATATTTTCTCTAACTGATAACCCTGTTTTATTCTCACTGATATTATCGTGGCTGTTTGTTCATTTTGTCAGTCGTGTGTAGGCGGAAAACACCCGCACGTGAATCCCTGTGAAGAAACAAACGCAGTTGGCTTTCTACACGTTGGTGTTTGTTTGTGATGAAGCTCCATGCTCCTCTGGTCCTACATTTAAAAACCCCTCAGGCTGATGTATTTCAGCTCACGAGTTGCAACAGCTTAGTGTAGTAGCGGAAGTAGAGAGGGATGTCAGAGAAGGTCAGGTTGTTGTTGATATATCTGAGGGAGATGGTTCCAGTTGATCCAAGTTTTAAGGTCACAAAGACGATAGAAGCTCAAGAGATGGCGACTCTTAACAATAATTCAAAATATAAGGTAATCATTTGCATTAGAGGAGCGGTGCATAAATAATTCCTGCTACATGTCAGATGCAGGGGTGTTTCCAGAGGGGTAGCGTAGGCCCCCCTTGAATGTAATTGGCCACCCAGGTGCCACCCAAATTTCTTAACTATGATTGGTCATTTGCTTTGCCACTTATGTTGAAATCCACCATTTAGGCTGTGTTGCAACAGGCATATCATAGTCAGTTTTCAGTATGCAGATGTCTCACGCTTGTGAGATGGTGTGACTTTGGACTTCGATTTATTTTAGTCCTTCTTTAGCTTAGAAGAAGTATATGTTCACATTATCTTGTGTTACCTTAAAGTCGATGTAATTAGTGCAGACAGAAGGGGTAAATAAATGCTCTTCATTTAGATGTCTGCATAGAAAATTCAGACCACCCTGCGCAAGTCAGTACCCCGGGCAGACCACCCTGGATCACGGCCCTGGTCAGATGGCAGAGTAGCATTAAAGGGGGATCATGTAATGTTCAAATTGTTCAAAGTGTTACGGATCTACTCCCCTGGATTGTTTCAGCCGGCGTCCATGAAACAGGCTGTCACGGCTGGGACACTCTATTGGCTTTATAGCTTACAATATGTTGCTGGTTTTACTAGATGTGCATTTATTCACACTACTAAAGCCTGTTTGCACCTGCAGGCTGAAGCAATTTTTTAAAAACCTATTTATGCTCCAAAATATGTCCCAACAGGGCCCCGAGTCTAAAGATGCTAAAATGAATCTTTTAAAGCTGAATACATGGTGAACGAGTCAGCTTGTCATCCTAACTTCTGTCTGTGATCAAACACTGAGCATCCTCACACTGCTTAATCTTCAGCAAATGTCTCTTCTTCTCTTCCTGAAGCTCGCTCTCTGGGCTCTGTGGCCTTGAGGAAGGCGGAAAACATGGAGGGAGGTCTCCACTTCAACGTGTTCACCGTGGACTTCAACGAGGAGCTGGTGGCGCTTTACGGCGGCAGTCTGCTCAGGCAGACACACTTCCTGCATGAGAGCATTAAGGCCATCCTGAGGCTGTACAAGGTCAGGCTCCAAATATCATCTGCTCCTCAGACAGGGTTACTTCCACTTCTTGTAGATGAGGGATATAACTGTAGGTGTGATATTTCAGCGCAGGGGCTACTTACCAAACGTGTATCACATTTCAGCTCCTTACTTTGAAACTCGAGCCTTTTTAAATGTTTTTCTTTCTCAATAAAGACGTTAAAATAGTTCAGTAAAATAAGGTCAAACTCCTGAAAAGCTAACTTTAAGTAGTAAAAATAAAAATGCACAATTTACAGTTAATAATCCTCTCCCCGGCTCAGTCCAGACCCAGCTTTGAGGGTGGGTTATATCAGGATAAATGCTGGTTAGCAGCTCTCATCAGGGGTTAAAAGGGATCTGGCAACCAGGCGTTGGATGTGAAGTCAACATGATACAACGAACCACGCTCCAGTGAGGTTACGTTTTTTTGTGCTGACTCAGAAAACTGAAAGGAGGCGATCAAATAGGGTTATAAAAAGAATATATATAAACGAAGTAAATCCAATTTAAGGCGACGCTGCGGTAGCTCAGTCTGGACAGAAGTCAGGGACACACGACACATCACAGAGGTCACAAAACCTGATTAACCAAAAACCACCAACTAGACTCTTCACACTTTTAGACCCAGTGCTGCAGTCGCTTCAAACTTTTCTCTGGTTTCTTTTATTTGTTGGATTTATCTCCGAAGTAACGAGCGATTAATGATAAGTTATCTGCTCTGTGCACATACCAGAGTTTCAGAGCTCTGGAGTCACCGGTTTGTCCTGCTTTCAGGCCTGTTCTGTTTCTCATTGGTTTTATTGTTTGGTTTTATCTTACAGGTTTGGCACCTTGCCTGTTATCATTTTATTTCCTGTTTCTTCACTCTTTACAATACAATACACCCCCCCCCCCCCTTTCTGAAAGCTGCTACATACATGAAGTGTTATGCAGATTTAAATATGTCTACTCTTATTTACCCTACACATCTTTCTGGTCAACATATCAGCTTGTTTTTTCTAATGGTGTCCTTCTCCTCCGTCTGCTTGGCAGCACCTGAAGACCCCCCCTCAGAGTGTGGTGCTGGTCGGTCACTCTATGGGAGGGGTGGTCGCTCGAGCGCTCTTCACTTTGCCCCGCTTTAACAGCAACCTGGTCAGCCTCATCATCACACAGGCCTCCCCTCACCTGGCTCCAGTTCTGGCTCTGGACCCCTACCTGCTGGGTAAGGAGGACTCTCGTACCCGGTACCCTTAAACTTTGTGCTCCAAGATGCGTCGACAAGTCCTCTTTCTAAGTTAACAAAACAACTGCTAATTTGACTGATCATTTAAATACCATTGACCAGATGCAAAGTTACTGACTCTTAAACTGACAGAACATTTTTTTTTTTTCTTATTTATAAATGAGGGCTGTTTTATTCCTACAAGTGACTCTGACTTGTTTGTGTCAGAATGACTGTTTCATGATCATTGGAGTAATACAGAATATGAGGTCAGATGATTAATAACTCCTTGTTGCGTTGTGTTTAACTTTTCTTCTTCCCTGTATAGATTTCTACTCTACAGTGAGGCACAAGTGGGTGACCCAGGCAAAAAAGCTCAGGAACGTCACAGTGTTGTCTGTAGGAGGGGGTTACCGTGACTACCAGGTTCGCTCCGGCCTGATATCCCTACCGTGTCCCCAGGGAGACCCCAATAAGTTTTCCCTGGTGGTAAGTGTTCTTTGTGAATTGGTCGACCCACCTGGTCATTGTGGCTCCTCCCACAGCAGGAACTTTTTAGCAGGAACTTCACCAGACCAGATCCTTATTGGGTTTCAGGTCGATGGTTCTACACGCCATGATGCAGTCAAGTTTCGTTTGAGCATGGCAGACCACATTGGAAGTTACAGGAGCTGTTTCGTATGCACTCCTGACATTTTCAAGATAAATTTAGTAAATCAAGGCCCTGATATTTTTATGAATTTGCCTTTCACACATTCACATTGAGTGATTATCTGTGTCTGACGCGCTCTCACAACTGGAAATACTACTTCTGTGTTAATGTCACTACAACATGTTTGAGAACATTTCTGCAGGATAAACTTCCTTCTAACTGGAGAAAACATGAAAAACAACTGAGGTAAAAGTAGAGAAATTCTGATCATTGTGAACGAAGTTACCCTCGCCACTCACTCGCTGTGAATGTTCTTGACTATTCACACATTTACACATCCTCAATTTCACTCGATGTTTTCTCTTTAGAGGACTGGCAGAAAGAAGATCACATAAATTTAGGATAAACAGAAGCCATTTTTAGACCTATTTTTTGGCCATATCTAAGCTCAGCCATCACCACGTCTTTGTACATTCATATTGATTCCGCCACAGCGTCATATTCTTGTCCCAGTTTGTGAATTGACCTGCGTTACAGCGTTGTGGAAGCAAGGCACAGCTGGAGCTCAACATAGACACATAGTCAGAAACACACACACAAAGCGCTTCACTGAAACCATCTCGCCTCTTTAATGCCTCTGTTACTACATCCAAAGACAGAATGTGAGGGATCTCTTCCTCCTCCAATTACGCCTCCGCAACATTCAAATTTGAAGGCGCAACATCACAGGGGCGTAATTATCGTGGCTTGAAACAGGGCTAGAGTCAGCTGTACTGTTCACACATGCCTGAACAGTGTTGGGAGATTTTAGAAGGTGTTGTGCATGTGTGAAATGATCTTGGATAGTTGATGATGCAGAAACGGCTCCTCACAATTTGCTTCAATGTTTTCCTGTTTGTGTGAAGGCGACTGCAGTCCCCAGGACATGGGTGTCCACTGACCATCTGTCCATCGTTTGGTGAGAGAAGACGCTTCATGTTTTGGCAGATTTTAAAAAAATGTACACTTTTAAACTCAGTGTTCATGTCTTTGTTTTCAGGTGCAAAGAGCTTGTTCTTGCTACGGTCAGGGCGTTCTTCGACCTCATCGATCCAGAAACCCGACAGGTCGGAAGAACAAAAGTTTATACACATTTTTATAGCATTCATACAAAATTACAAAAAATACAAAATCCAATACAAAGAGATATTGTCAGAAGAAGGATCATATTCCACTGGAGACTGGTGGGAATTTGTAAGCTTTCAATTCCAGCTCGCTCCTTCGATCTAACCAGTGTGTTTTTAATAGTTCACACACAACCCGGAGAAGAAGATGGCCGTACTGAACCATCACTTCATCAGACACCCTGTGAGGCTGGTGGGAGAAACCCAGGACAACGCCATCTCCATCTTAGGTGAGAGGGAAATTATTCAGCATGGGGTTGCACTTGCAGCTGAAGTAAACTGAATAATTGTACTCACAGACTTGACTCATCTCCTGTTTAGCATTTATTTAGGATGGCTATTTATTCAATTCAATTTTATTTGTATAGCACATTTCATACAAACGTAAACTCAATGTGCTGTACAGAAGACAAAAATAAACAAACACAATACAAACTTATTTCAAATAATAAACAGAAACCAAAACAAAATAAAATAATGATAATAAATGAACAAGTGGATTTAAGAGCTCACTTTAAACCAAAACATATTTGTAAAAGAGCATGCACCATCCCATACAACATGTAGAATGCACTAACCATATGTACACACACACACACACACACACACACACAGACAAACTAGCAACCAAAGGCACGAGAGAAACGAGCCTCATCGGTGCATGTGTTCCACGGAGAGACCGGAAGTCTTGCACCTTGAATAGACGAGTTGTTGTCAGATGATTTTTGAGATTTAGGAATATCAAGAGTGAAATCAGTGCAGCTGGAGTTGATTGCCTGAACTAGCTCGCGGGCGTCGCCTCATTAAGTCAGCGACTAAAGAATGACTCATAGCTTTGCTCTGTCTTTTCCCGTTTCTTGTGAATTTTTTCAGATTTTCCTGAAGCATGGAGTGAAGTAAACACGCTGCGTCTGGCTTACAGCACACCCAAGGTGACACACTTTATATAATAACTGAACACCTTTCATTCAGTCAAAGAAGAACAACACTTATTAGTTGTTGTGGAGATTTTGCTTTAGCTCTTAACAAACTTAACATTATCTATAACTCATCTCATGCAAACATTAATGCAGATCAGGTTGTGTCCAGACTATTTGTTTAACTGATTATTTGGGGGTGGGGGGGGAACCCCTGATAAAGTGTTGTCTCTGGTGTTTCTCTCCGTCTGCAGGAGGGACAGGTCAAATACTTCCTGTTTGCACTGTCGAGCCGAAGGAAAGCCTACAGCCACTTCTACTGTCGGAGCAGCAACCTGGTGAGCTTTGTGCAGAGTTTTAATGTTTTCATCCTTTGTGTCAAACTGGAATCAAAGCAGAAAAAGTGATTTGGATTTATATTTGTTGTCCAACAGGAGATGACGAGCTGGGTTTATGGCTGTGCGAACAAGAACGGTTCCTCATGGTAGAAATATATTTGTGTCTCTTTCTGGTCCGCTGTTATTCTCATTTCTTGATTTTGATTACATTGGCAGTATTTGTTTTCCTGCAATTAGTTATCTCAGTTAGACATAATTACATTCTATCTACGCTCTGTGACTCATTCCAGTGTGCGTGCAGTTGATCTGTCCATGGCCACTGAGCTTCTCCCACCATACAAGGTAACGCCCCTATCATGAAACACAGTTCAGTCAATGTTGGTTTTTTGCTGACATCCGTCTGTTTCCCCCTCAGGTCCTGATTCTGAGTCTCAGTGACTTGTCCTCCGTCACTCACCTGGTTGTTTCAGCCTCAAACCTCAATGGCAGACAGGTACAGTGTGAGAGGTCCCGACTCTCTGATGTCGTCTCTAACATCTGTCATATTTATTATATAATACTTGAAGGCATTAACAGACATGCACTCTATACATACTGTATATAAATATATATATGTGTATATGTATATATGTGTGGCTTAATATAAGATAATTGACGATTCAGACTACAGACATCAAATAGGTCCAAATAAGATCGAAATGATCATTCCCTACTCTCTCTCCCTGATTTCTGACTATCCACTATCCCATCTCTCCATTAAAGTTACAAAAAGCTCAAAAATAAATCTTTAAAAAATAAAAAGTTAACTTAAAACAGATCTAACAGCCTCGAGGTCCAAGGAAAATGTAAAAAGTATCACTCATGCTAACATGTGCAGTGGACATCACAAAGTTTTGTCTTTTCCACAGTACACGGTAGAGTGCGAGTGGCAAAGAGAGGAATCGCAGACTCTGTCGGTCACAGTGCCTCATGTTCTGTCCTTCGGTGAGTAGTAGAGCTGTGGTGATTCTCTGAAACATGGAGGAGAAGAAACACACTTTAAGACTCTGTTGTTCTGCCAGGTTTGACTGCGAGTGATGTTACGGTCAACTCCTCTGGACTCCTTCACGCCATCAAGCTTCATCACTTTCACCAGGTAGCATTCATTAGCTCGTAAGCTGCTCAGTGCACACTCTGTTCCTGCTCTGTCGTTAAATTTAGAACACTTTTGTTTCTTTTTTTAGGCCTATCAAGCTTTTAGAATCAATGTGGCAAGCCAGTGCAAAGTACAGAAAGGTGAGTTAATGTTCAGACACTTCACTAGAAGCACTTGATAACATATAATGATGATTGTTTGTGTGTTTGTCTGCAGAGAGACTACCCAATGTGTACAGAATACATGTACCCTGGTTCAGAGAGGACTCTTTAACAACAGCCAGGTTAGTCCTGTCACTCTCTCAGTTTGTGAGCTGCTACTTCACATTCAGACGTCAGCCGTTTTCACACATGCACTCCAGATCTCCTCCTGATCTGGTTGTTCACATACGCACCTCACAGCGGGAGACTATCGCCGTCAGATGGGAGGGGGGCTGGACGGTGGAAGACGGAGCAACAGAGTCAATTATACGATGCTTTAAAGAGAGTATTTACCTTTTTATCAATGCTATGTGTAGTTAGACAGAATCACAATATCAAAAGAAGAGCAGAGAAGAACATACTGGAGAACAGAAAACATAAAGCAGCTGTTTGGTTATGAGTTTGGAGACCATTGCAGTCGCGTCGCAGACTATGGTCGTGCAGCGATCCCACTCGCTCGAGGTGAATTCTCCTGGTTATATCCTGCTGCGTTCTCACATCAGCTCACTCAGACTCTATGCAGAAAAGCAACATATCAGGAGCTTTTAAGGGGTTATGTGAAAATTTGAAAGCTCTATGAGTGACTGTTTCTGTCATGACATGATGTGATCTGTCTCCAGTGTGCCGTCAGTGACTGAGATCTCAGGGATGCTCCACACAAGTCGTCCAGACAACACCTCAGGTGTCCTCCTTCAGCTCCACACTGCCCCCAACTGCCAATATAAGGTACTTCTCCTCAACGGCTTGAAGGAACTACAGCCTGTCAGTGCACATCTTGCTTTAATCCAAATAGAGTTCAGCCTACTCAAGGATCATGTCTGTGATTGGCTAATGATCTTTGCCTCAAAGTTTGCCCTTGCGGCTTTCTGCTGTGAACTTTTTCACCAAGGAGGACAGGATCTCTGTGTCCTGTCTCAAAATCAATGTTGATGTTGTTGCTTTTACCAAAAACTATCAACTTAACCTAAATGTAACCAAAGCTGTGGTGGTTTCAAACTGTTCGCCACAAACTTAGCAAGATCTAAAAACCAACATTAAATGGTTTGGTTTAATCAAATTAAAAATCTTATCCCTGGCACATGGGGTGACAATTGATATAGACACAAAATATTGTTCCCCTGTGTCTTCCAATTTGCAGTCGTACTGGCCAAATTCAGCCCAGCACGGTGGGAACAAGCAGAACTCTATGTGGGAAAGAAATAACACAGAAATACTCTCTCCAGCTTCTTGCGGAGCATGATGAAAGCTCATTTTTTTTGTATATCGATAAAAAGGGCGGTGACAACATGACATGAAATGAATAATGTATTTTCCTTCCTATTTTCACCCCAGGTGTCGGTAAGGACTTCATTACCCAGAGTTCTTGGACAGGTACAGCTTTCTTGTCTTGTTTCACATATGCAGTAAAGTGTGTAGTGACATCAGGAGATAATAGACAATGTTTTGTTTTTCATTACCAGTTTTATTTAAATGTCAATAGTCCTAAATACCTGTTATTGTTCTTCCTCACCTGACAGATTCTGAGGTTTTGTGGACCCATGGTGCCGGTGTACACAGCTGTAACGCTCCTCCTGGCCTGCGGGGGGCAGCTTACCTCCATCCTCAAATCAGGGCGAGCTACAGAGATGAGCAAGGTGGTGGGAAATGGCCTGCAGCCTCACAAAGTCAATCTGCCTGTTTATATTCTGCACGCCTTGCTCAGGTAGGCTTTGCATGTGTTGAATGCAACTTTTAAACCTCACTTTTTTTCGAGCTCTTTATCAGATCTTACAGTTGTTGTTTTGTGATGTATTGTGAAAATACCTGAATATTTTTAAAACACTATTTAATTTGTGCTCTTTGCTAATTCTCCTCTACCTCTCTCCCCTCAGCTGCAGCTGTTTTCAAGAAAGCTGGGCAATGCTTTTCCTCCCCCTCATGGATTCCCTCCCACCCACCACCCCTGATGTAACATTTCAAGAGGGCGTAATACCAGTTGATGAATGGCCGCACCTCCTGTCCCCTCTGCTGTACATCTTTGGGGCAGCTGTTGCATACTGGGGCAGCACACTCCTCCGCCTCATAATGCGACTCGTCTCACTCGTTTTAGCTCCGCTACACAGGTATGATTGGACACTGAAACTTGTTTGTATTGGGTCAGCAACTGGACGGTCTGGGGAATTTGAATATGAAAAAAGCCATTAAAACCTCGGCGATACCATGAATTATCCTGAGCTCTAAATGGAGCGTTGGTACTAACGTTTTGGTATTGCTCTATAGATCGCTTCATAGCTCGATCCGGCTGCAATATAATCCAGACCACAAATGTAACTGATCATGCTGCATCCACTAAAAGTCAGACATCAATGAGGAAAGTGTCCCTACAAAGATAAACTTCATTTAATTAATATAAATGAGAACTCTAAAAGCCACCAGACTCCGATATAACTGATTTCTCCTCTTTAAATTTGTCTAATAACATTTTTAAACTGGAATTAATATAAACCTCTTTTCCCTGACTTTTGACCTTTTCCTTCTTCTATTTTTCATGCAGACCATCTGTCTCCAGAGACTGTGGCACGCTGCAATGGCGGACCCAGCTCTTCATCACTCTGTGTCTGGCTATTTTGAGTTGGATGTCCTGTGGAGCGTTGTCGATCTGTTTCGCCTTTCTGTTCCACCTCTACAGGGTGAGTCTTTGGACACTGGTAGTGATGGTAACTCAACCAGCTCAATGACGATACTGAGTGTATCTCTTAAATGTGTGTTCAGGTTCTGAGGCTGCAGATGACAGAGAGATCGTTGAGCCACATGTTGAATCTGGTAAGAATTTCAGGTTGACTTGGCCCTTTGGCATGTTTATATTTTTGTGTGAAACAAATACAAACACATAAAGAATACATGAGCTTGTTTGGTAATGGTAGAAACCTGGAAATGGCTTCATTTTTCTGGACTGTATTTATGAATGTTGGACAAGCAGTGAACCAGTTTTAATAAACTTTTCTAAACTTCATAGGCCGATGTTAGTGCCCATATATGTCTTATGCATTAGTATTATTACAGTGAGAATAATTTAGGATTCAACCGTCTTTCCAGGCGCCTCAGAAGCACAAAGATGCTGAGAATGGCACAGTCCATGCTGAATCCTCAAGCAAGCCTAAAGAATGTAACGGCGCCCCCCTGCTGTCAGAGAGTGCTCTGCAGGAGGTGAGGGATGACTTACAGCTCCACCTCTGCCTGTCGGCGCTCTGCACACTGCCTGTTATGCTCATAGCACCCTCACTCATCCACTGGATCCGCAACCTGAGGTATCGTATTCAAATCCAAAACAAACTAGCTGAACAGACAAAGTATCTCTGAACAGGCCGCTTTAGGCTTCTTGAAATGCTCATGAGTGATTTAAATCTGTTGGGAAAAGTTTTAAAAATGTCCACATAAATCTCTCATAAATCAAGTTCATTGGAATTGTCCAGTCAGATTGCCTGTCATCTCCATTCCTTCAGTTTAAACTGAGTCTTCAGTCCGAACAGGTGAGAGAGCAAGCTGTGCTTCCCCATGGTGCACTGTTGAGGATGAAGAGGAGCAAATTAAGTGCTTACTAATGTCTCATTTGTTGCAGTGATAGCACGACTAGGAAACCCATTCATTTGTTATCTTTAGCTGTTTTTGCACACATGCACTCTTGAGAATGTCTAGAGGATTTCAGGAGGACTGCGCCTGACGCGGAAGTGGTGGACGAAGCAACAGGGTCCACTATACGACGTTATAAAGAGGATATTTGCCTTCATATTAATACTGTGTGTTTTCGGCAGTCACAATATCAACAAAAGAACGTTAAAGAACATACTGGAGAACAGAAAACATAATGCAGCTGTTTGTTTACTTGCATGGAGATGGTAGTGGTAGCATACAGAGTCTTTGGGCGTGCACAGATTGCAGTTACAGAATGTCACCATCCCCACCCAGTCGCTCGAGGTGAATTCTCCTGATGATATCCTGCTGCGTTCTCACATCAACTCACTCTGACAGTAAACATGCTAGGAGTCTGGCAGGAGAAACTCTTTGATCTGTTGTTACTTTGATTGTTTTTAAAGATTACTTCAAATCTTCTGTCAAAGAAAAAGTACACAAAACTCCTTACTTATGCGCACATTTTGAAGAACAAATTGACACATTTTACGCAGTTTCAGTGAGGCGAGCTTCATGCCTTTTATGCACAAAGCTGTTGAATCTATACCAGCTGTATCTATGCAAAGACTGTTTAAAACACGGACCTGGCCTCAGTGACTTCGGCTCACCAAATTGGTTTCTTCAGAGGCGTTAGGAAGCCCATTAATGGTGGTCGCCATTCTCTGAACCTTTACTCCAGCTAACTTCTGGCTAATTGAGGAGCAGGCAAAGAGGCGGAGTTGAGAAGGTCTGAATGAATATCTTACTTGTTGTCAGTCAAGACAGTCACACCCCGTAGTATTCCTTATTATGCATCACTCTCAGCCCCAATTTCCACACAGTCCGTGCGCGCCTGGGTCCGAGTCTTTTGTTTTTTTTGGGGGGGGGGGGCAGCTATTTCACAAACAAATCCTTGCGTCTTCGTTAAGCCTACGTTGTGATCCTCCGCAGGTACTCTCACCAGTTGGACCCAGACCCTTGCTGGCCACACCTTGTGCCTCTAATTCTCGTGTACATGCTGCTTATTAACTGCAACACTTTAAAACTCAGCAAAAGGTAAGAAGACACCCTCACCAAAACACACTCTCGTTAGGTTCATATTCTGATTTGGCAGCAGAATTCCCCTCAACGATCTTCCTCTTCTTCTTTTTTTTTCCAGTAAATTCCTGCCTCTGACATCCTGCCTCCCTCTCCCCTTGGCCATCGCCATGGTGACGTTCTCTCCGCTCCACCTCTACAGAGTCACCTACTTCCTGTTGGCGGCCCTCGTCCCTCTGGCCTTGTGTAGTCTGCTCTGACGGTACCTGACTGGTTTCAGTCCACATCTCCACCATTACAAGCCTTTCTCTAACTCACAGCTTTACTCACTGAAGCTGGTGGGGGGACGACTCACTCCGTCTAGCTGCCGTGGAGCAGAGCCATAGACATACATAGCTTGGGGAACTGCCTGCTCAATGTTGGCGCTAAAAGCTCCATGGTGATTACACTATGTTTTAATAAGAGAGGATGTAATGGCCCTGGAACATTTGGTGCGAATATGGCTGTGAAGGATCGACCTGAAACCAAGTTTGCCTTACTTTGTATATCTATAGCTCTGCCTTCAAGGAGCAACAACTCCATAACCAGTGAAGCTACTGATACTAGAGGTACACAACAGGGTGTTACTGTTATGATGTGTTCTTTTTTGATTCGTGCTTACAGTGGCTTATGGTCACTGCGCTGTATACTCCTACACTGCCTACTGCTTAGCTAAGACTTAAAGCTGTGTGTTATTTCTGCTTATATACTGCCGCAGCGTGGACACAAAAAACAGTGGCCGTTTCATACATTCATTCCTCAAGGAAAATCCAAAGTAATCACGTTTGCACTCCTCCTTATACACTCTTTTGAAATAGGTCAACGACAATGGCAGCAAAATGAAAGGCTGCACTGAAACAGGCGTCAGTGCATTTGTAACGTTCCTGCTTTGTCTTGAATAGTCCAGAAGAAGAAAGTCATGATCTAATCAACATTTTAAACACATTGCGATTCATTATGAGGTTACACATAGGATAATATTTTCAGTCTTGTTTCTAGTGCGGTACGTTGACATAAAATGAATAATCACTACTTCACTCCCTCAGGCATTGGTGTCTGTTAAAGACCGAAATAATTTAAACGTTAAACTTCAAACTAAACACAGATATCATTTAAAGCTCCTGTGATGAACTTTCACTTTGTGTCGATTTTGGCGCCCCCCTGTGGACAAAGTAGTAATTCTCTGCTGGTCATGTTCTGTACATGCACAAGAAGTATTTCTTGAGACAAAAACCTCAACCAGCTTTCTCATAACAGGCAAACATTTCAATCAATGTAAATGTTGGTGAGGAAAAATGTTGAAAAGGCTGTTTTTGCTCTGTGATGTTGAACACGACATCTGACAAAAAAGTTGCTGATAGTCTTATTTGCTTTTCAACTCACATTGTGTCATCATGATTAATTTTAGTCTTCTTCAAAACCAGCTTAAAAAAGTCCTCACAGGAGTTTTAAGGGGAAAACATCCAATGACATGTATATCAGCTGTTAGATGGATTTTACTGTGCTGACCTAAATAATAGAGCTTTTCAGTTACCGGAGACAGTTACTCAGAAGCCTAATTTATATGAAAAATGTCCAAAGCAAATAATATTTAACATTATCAAACAATTTTAACCATTTGTTGTCTTGAACATGGTTTTTAAAAGTTGTGACGCTACATGTTCTACAAACAGAGCTGAGAGAAAGTACGAGGTAGAGGCTCGCAACTGATGACACACTACATTAAGAATATGTCTGATAGGACAGTATGAACGGATGATGGGAATAAATTATTAAAGTGGTCAGGCTCTCGGCAGCAGCAGACTTAAAATAATCACCTAACAGTCGTGGGGTTAGAAATAATCGTGCCATAATTTTCCTACTTGAAATAAGTGAGCCAAGAACAAGAAGACAAGAAGCGGCTTGGACGCCATTTGCTTTGTTAATGATTAAAAGCCTTGTTTCTTTATTTTAATACTGTTACATCAAACTATTCTCCTCTTGAATTCAGAATCATTTGAATTATTTGTTGTTCTCAACATTGTGCTGCTCTATTTACAGAAATAACTAAATTCAGTGAGTCGTTTTTTAAAAGAATGGCAAACTCTGTCGATAAAACGTCAAACTTCCTGCACAGATATTTCAAATTAAAAGCTTACAGGGAACCATCGATTCAGCGTGATCCCAAAATTTCAGCGAGAATCAGCACCGCAGGTTTTTTTTGATGGATTTAAGACAAAGCTTAATGTTTAGTGAACTAAACAGGAGGAAGACCTCGGTAGGACACATGGACATTACATCATGTTTGAAATAATATTATCTGTTCCTACGAAGGTAAATGTGTTGTGCAGACAGGAGATTTAATAGATACATTCACTACTTGACGCCTTATGCTGCAGCTGGAAAGAATAAAGATCTGACATGTTGGATTGAGACGTTTGCTTGCCCATTTGAGAATTTGATTAAGAGTGTTTTTGTGTCATTCTTTCTGACCAAAGTCAGTTTCTGGCCTGGATCAAACTCATCAACACGTTTCCTTTGCCAGTCAATCCAAACTACGATACATGGTGGGGATGATTACTTCATGGGCTCTAGTGTTTTGATCAGCGCAGCAACCTCCATGTTAATAATCTCGTCCACTCCAGTCTGGTTGAGTGTGCCAAGTTTTCAACGATGTGCTTGTACTGACTGGTTACTTGAGATTACACTAAAATGTAATGAGGTGATAGTGAGATAAATATGGTGAAGAAAAATAAACATTTGGGGTGCAGTCAAATCATGAATATTCATGATGTTTTTTTTAAGTACTAGAATCCCTTGTGGTTGGTGATGTGAAGGTTCAGAGCTGCAGAGTCTGTATGTTGTTCTGGTAAAGCCGTCAGCTTGTGAAGTTTAAGAAGCTGATTATTTAAGCCTTGGATTTATGTTCAGTGAAGGATTATGAGACGTCTGTTCAGTATTACGGCTGATATACATTTACGGTTTGATTCATGGAGATTTCAACAGCTTCTAGTTTTAATGGTTTTGCGATTCACATTTTCCTTTGCTTTGCACGGCTCAGTGTCGGGGTCAATACGAGGACTGACAGTGAAGTACTGCGGTCACAACAGCAGGGGTACAGGTGTGTAAACAGGGTGTATTTTATCATTCACAATTTCAATCTCAATATGACCAACTAATTTCTATTAAAGGAGATCTATTATCCTCACTTTCACCATTAATCACGTCAGTCTGGGACAACTAATGAGAAGCGTTGTTGTGTAGCTCACACTCAAAAACCTCCTTATTTATCTGATTCTGCCCCCAATTAAACCCCTTATTTCAGCCTCTGCCTGAAATGCTTCATTTTAGCTACTGTCTCTTTAAGACCCCCCCCCCCCTCCCCACGTGCCTACTTTCCTCTGATTGGCCAGCTCCGTTTGCAGCCGAAGGAGCATTTGAGTGAGCTTCTGTGTGGGCGTGTCCTTGAAAGAGCTACAGGGGTGGGCGTGTCCTAACACTTTGGTCTCTGCTTTTCCTCTAATACCTCGGCAGAACCTAACATCAGATTCTGGCCGTGTCTCGTCAACGTCCCGTTCAGAGCGTATTTTGAAAGTGTCTTATCTTTGTCTTACATCCTCCTGCTGTTGCTCACACATGCTCATGTTAGTGACGCCGCTGCTGTGCCTTCCTCCTCTCTCGTGTATGCAGCAGCGTTTCTGTTAACCGCTCAGTCCTCAGCAGCAGTGTCTTTGCTCTACGCTGTGAATGTAAGTGTACTTCACTGGTTCTGCGTGAATGTGTTTACTCTCAAAACATCCACACCACTGCAGTGGGGACTTTTCAAACGAGTGTGACTTTCTAATAACGCAACACTAGAGAGACTTTCATCCGGGGACCAAGCCTCTAAAGGAGGCGTACAATCATTCATCGCCGCACTCTGCAAAGCTGTTCCTCCTAACGTGAATGTACCTGCGCTGAATGTCTCTATGTTTGACTTTATACTATTAGTGCTGTCAGTGATCCGTGCACTCGTCTGTTTGGTGCAGTTTTAGTGCTTTGAGATGCACATGGTATGCCTTGTGGTGAATTGGTGGCACACACTCCTTTTTGTAGTACAAAAAAACTGAAGATAAGAGTTTTTGTTTGTTTTATATTTAAATATTAATGTGATTTATATCGGTGTTCACTGTGATCCTGTCGTAGTACAAGATAAACACATGAGGGTTTTCTCTTTCCAAACACTTTTGATGAAACATGATGTTGCTGTTTAAAATGAGGTTTATGTTTGAGTGTTGTTGTTTTTTTCTCCTGTAAAAAAAATAAAGAAGTATCTTGTATTTGTCAGAAACACAGAAAGTCAGTTTAAACCACACGCAGGACTCGGGTAGAAAACCTTGAAGTTGGACTAAAACAATAAACGGGATTGAACTCAACTTAATCTTTAATACTGCCATTTAAAAAAACCGGTGTAGACTGTGATCTAGTTTCTCCTTTTTGTAGTCGAGCTTTTAGAAATGTTTCATCAAATCACCTGATTTTCATCTCCTGACATGAAAAGATCTCAAACAATTGAAAGAAGAAAGTGAATCCATCGTAACTCCACTTGAATAACATTTTCAGTAAAGCTCTATGTGTTGACATGCTCCGGTTCTACACAAAGATCAACGTTAACAAACGATGATTCGCTGTAATTTCACTCAAGTCTTAAAGTTGGGCGATATGATTCTGATCAAATACACTTTGTTTTTGGGAACAGAGCGGATATCTCCTCACTGATTGCTACAGACAGAAGACGAGTCCATAACTCCTCACAACAAGCTGTCTTTGAATCATGTTACCTTTCCTTGTTTTCACACTTTGCAAGTAAACGGTGCAGCCGCCCAAAACCTCGGCTGCATTTCTCATAGTTCAACCTTCAGAAAAAGAGTCTTTAAGTGAATCACACTTGTATTTCTTCACTGAACATTCACAGCTTCTGATCCTTACCTAGAAGGTTTTCGTTTCAGTGTTGAATCAGCAAGCCTTTATGTCCAAAGCACACGTGTCTTAAATGTAGGTACACTAGTACGATACCACAGTGAATATGACAAACACACTGAGACTTATGCTCAGTACAAAACATTAAAGATCACTGTGGAAAGGTTTTCACAAGCTTAGAATTTTTAGTGTTAATACTTTTTAAAGATGGCTGTTGAACTTTAAACCTCATTATTGATTTGTGTTCATATTTAGTCATAAAAAGTTGATTAAAACATATTTCTTTCCAGTGTTTATCTGGTCATGTGGAAGTTATAATTATACTAAATGTCACAGCTGTCTCTAAGTGCTTTAAAGTCTGGTTAACCTATCAGTTTCATTTATTCTGCTTCTGCCTTCACTGACTTTTTAAACCTGCTGGTCCTTGTTGTGCAGTACTAGTTAGTCCTTGCTAAATACTGCCCCCTGCAGTTAGCTGAAGGAAGTGAACATGTGTCAATCATGTCTGAGGGAAAAGATGTTATTTTTAAATTTTGTGGTGAGGCTAAAGTGTGGAAGAGTATGTTCTCCTCAGGTTCAGGCATAATTGTGTCAAAACTGATTGTGTAGGTGTTTTTATATTTTTCACATTTTTAAATGATGTTATTGTAAATGGGCAAACTGCAATTTTTGGCACCATTGTTGTTTCAATAAAAACCAGAAAACGATTGTAGTTGTTTATTGATTATAAATGGGTATGCGCATCACTGTAAAGAATCTTTTCTTATTAACCTTGACTATTTTACATATTTTGGGGTCATAATGACTAATAGCACCAAGGAGTTTGGAAAGCCACAAGCTGATTTTTTTTCAGCTCATAGCCGTAAATCGGGCTGTAATTGCTCCAGCACGTTCCATTCAAAATTCACCTGATTTAAGTATGTTCTCTAAAACTGCAGGCTTACAATGATATTAAAGGTGACATATTATGCCAAATACACTTTACCATGTTTTTCTAAGGGCCTTGTACATGCATCTGTAGGTTACTCTCTTTTGTGGCTAATCTGGCCTTTGTACATGGTTCAATTAAGTAAAAACAAGTCAAGTGAATTTATAGACGCATATAAGAATAGAAGTCACCTAAGGTCACTGTCATTCATCTCCAAGACTATGGAAGCAACTAGCGATCAGAATTCAAATAAAAAATCATATTCAAATTCAATAAAAGACGATTTCATTTTGGTTTGAAAGTGTCTCAACTCAACAGGAAATGTGAAACACTATGATCTCTAAAAGCCTAAGGAGCAGCAGGTTGAATCATCTGTGGAGGTTTAGGAACAGGTAGGGCTTTAATGTAAGAAAATTAATGATTTCTGCTTATGATGCCAACTTGTAGCCTAAAAATGTTTATTTAGCTTTAAGTTCAACGTTAATATTTTCCCAACAAAATCCAAAATGTCTTTTGAACATTTTATAAACTATTGCGAATCTGTGAGCTTTACTGAAGAGTACTCCTTACAGTTATTGGTATTGAATGATACTCAAACCAGTGAGGACACTTGTGTCTTATTTGCAGGCTTCAACTAGGTAGGCTAGGCCTAAAGTCAATTACCAGCTTTTTTATTTAGTCTTTAAAGCTAATTAAAAGCTCTCTTCTTCTGCTCTTTTCACTCATAGACTGTAAAAACTAGTTATGTACTGAGGAAATGTAAGCTGCACTGTTTCCAGGAGCTTAAACTAACTGCATGGATGGGTTCAGCGCCAAAACGCTGGGAGCTGAACTGACCAAAAATGAAAAAAAGTTGAACTTTTAGTGTGTGGGAGATAATTTTCTGATACAAAAGTGGGAGAATAGTGTAATGAAACAACAGGTAAGTAACTGAATTTTCCCAAATACTTAATAATTACTTGTTTTGCTGTGTTTCTGTCACTTTGTAGTACAAAAGATGAGTATGTAAAAAATAGCAAGCTTTTGGTTATTACATGGAGATTGTTTTAATTTCATTCCACTTTAAAAACAGCCCATTACTTTTTTTTTTCTCAACTGATTCAATGTATTTTCTCCTGCACCTCCATCGATCAACCACCAGAGGGCGCCGTTTCCCCGATGACACCTGACTGTCTCTGCGACAGTGGGAGGTGTGAAGTTGCATCACTGATGAATGAATGTATTTGTACTCTGTCCTCATGTTTACTTTATCGTGTTATAGCTGGAGCCACCGTTTCAATGTGGCAGAAATTGATCCATCTGAAACCCTGCGGTCCTAATTTGGTGTTTTGACTAATACACATGTACAAAAATGTCATATTATTTTAGCCTATAGTTATGTTGTCTACAGGCATGTTTATTCACCTGCGCATGTCTTATGTGTGGAAAGATGGAGCTCTACCTGAAGCATTCAGATCATAAGGAGGATGAGCAGCAAAACGAAGCAATAAGAATACTACTCAACAGTAAGACCCATCTATTCAAAATGTTTGATTTACTTTAGTAAAGTAGCCTATTGTAGGATAATTAAAGTATTCATATAGAGTAGATCCTTTTTGAGTGATGCTTAATCATACTTTCCATGTATTATTAATGCTGCATGAACGCATTACACATTTTTGTTGTTGCAGTCGTTTACTCCTCGGTGGAAGAAAGAATAGTTAAATGCATCATATTGATCATGTGCATTAAATGTTATTCTGAAAACATTGGCTGTCTGTCTAATGTAGTTCAAAGTTATTGTAGCACTTAGTGCATCAGAAGAAAAATATTGAAAACCACTAGGCCCTCCTCAAAAATAGCAATAAAGTGTAAGAAATGCCTTCATCTGTATCTGTGCAGTCAGTGTTATTGCTCCACAGGTTGATAACATTCATCTCTCTCTCCTCTCTCTCTCTCTCTCTCTCTCTCCCTCTTTCTCCGCCCACATTGGCGTTTTCCCACATTAATATGCAATACATATATGTTATCAAACAGCAAAAACTACATCTCGGGGCTCTCCAAGCTTCAGAACAAATCCCTCCTCGCCTCCAGCAAGAAGAGTGATACACCACTGCAAATAACCAAACAGTGCGCCATCCCCTGGGCTTCGCTTTTCTTTTGCTTTCTTTTTTTCTTTTTTTTTAAGGATTGACAGCGGTGGCATTCTCTGCCCAGTCAGATTTTGTGCATTTACCGGAGCTGGTGGGAGGACGTCGGCACTGACTGCAGCACATTGCGATGCAGAGAGGGAGAAATAAGGATGCGATGCCTGTGTGAGCTGCACGCCTGAAGACTCAGCAGCAGCAGCAGCAGCAGAGTGGCAGGGAGGCTGCTGCCGGAGTTTATGCGCACACCTCTGGAGGCTGCTGCCGAATAGGGCCGAGGTGTCTCTGCAGCGCCGCAGCATTCACAGGGATACCGTCTCGATACGTGACTTCGAGCCTAAGCTGCCCTGGCTCGGGATCTGAGAGGGAGGGAGGGAGGGAGGGAGGAGGGGGGGGGGCTAGCGCGGCACCCCGCCCGTCTCTCCTCATTTGGACTGCAGGGATAACGACCTAAACCGTGATATCCCCGCGCAGAAACCACTGAGCAGGTGCTGGTGGCAGCGCTGTCATCATCCGTACACCGTGTCTTCCATCCTGCACCTCTGCGCCAAAGGTAAGCTCTGACACACAGTGCAGTCAGGAATGGAGGGACAAGTGTAGGTGTTCATGGCTTCAAGCAGTGCTGCTCTTAACGATAACGATGATGATGATGATGATGATGATGCTCGGGCAGCAGAATATGTCATTTAACAACCGCAGCGTCGCCTTCTGCGTATCGCGGTCTGATGTTGTTGTGGTTTTGCACTGAAGGGGGGGGGGATAATTGATCGATTTTTGTTTTCATGCATGTGTCTGGTGCAAGAGATGCATTAAAAGAAAATGACGTAGGGAATTCCCACAGTAATCCAATAGCGAGCGATGACACCTGCACAGTCCGCCAGTGCGGTCCCTATATGGCCTGCTCTGTCATGTGCGCAAAGCGGCAGCGCGCGCGGCCTCGGCGCAGCGCAACATATTGTGTCGCGAGACGATTAAAGTTGGAGAGCAACTGTTATGTAACGTGATTTTGCTGACGTGATTGGTGCCATGAGCGGGGGTTACCTTCACGTTTCCTTTCAGGTTCCAAGACGTGATGGTCAGATTCCAGAGAGGTGTGTGTGTTTACACTCACATGACCGTTTCCCACTCGGAGCACATAGCAGCCCCATGACATTTAGTTTAAAATATCAGTTTGTACTCATGATTGAGATTTGTTGATATGATGTTTATATTATTCCTGCAATTTCGTTTAGAAATGCCGCTTTAAGATGAATGATACTTTTTTTTTTCTCCCCAAGGGGTTTGAGTTGATTGAATTCTGCAAAACTGCAAACATGCACAGCTTTCAAAAACATGATACACTTTTGCAATCATGTTGACCCCCTGTAGGTCATTACAAATATCTTTATATGACAGAATTTGTCACATGGTAAACCTGTGATGTAGATTTTGCTCAGAGCCTTTTAATCCCTGTTGCAGATGTTTCTGATGAGTCAGCGTGTGAAGTTTGAGGTTGTGGACTGATGGATTACAGGGTGAGAGAAAAGTTAAGAAATCCAAAGTGCTGTCCTGTACTGGACACTATAGCCTCTAAATCGAAGATTAAAAAAATATGTAGCCACAGTGGTATCATCCATTTGTTTTGAGGATTGCTGGTTCAAAGCAAGTTCAGCATTCTGGCTGTTGCCATCTTTGGTCAGATGTGATATGGATGAGAGGACGGAGCAGGAAGGGATTGACAATGTTACAAATTCATGTTGTATTTTTAATATTACTGGGTACTTTATTAGCTCTAATCTGTTAAGAGGCCTCGATATAGGTTCAGAGACCTCACTGATAGCTTCTTATAGATCAAATATTACCAAAATACTAGACTCGCAGTGACTGGAAAAACGTGCCCAGTCCACTTAGTATTGAAAAATAAACCAGCAAGACAAATGATTTGTCCGCTGTTTGCATGAAAATTCTCTAAAAGGCTGTTACACAGAAACACGGGCCGTGAGGCGAAGTTCAATGGCTTGAAATAAATGGAGGTGACATCTAGCAGACTCTAGCAGTATCCACCTGTCACTCAAACTCGACACACACTGAAATATGCATATTTTAAAGGTGTAATGTAATTATAACAGGTGGGTTATATAAGAATGTAAAGATTGTCCTGATTGGGAAAAAGAAGCTTTGACGAGCAAAACTAATTTTTGCACTTGCTGGCTGTTAATGTGTAATTCTACATTAAAGCAAAAATGAACGTTTCCACCTTAAAACAGTCGATCTAACAGTTCAAAAACTTTCAACAGGCGTCCACATAGCTCCCTGGTCGCCTGCTTATAGCACTATATATGTTTGGCAGCAGGCCGAGGTTCTCTCGAGAAGTGTGTACAGCTTTACGGCAGCCAGTTAGTGTGTACATCCCTCCAGATGTCAGTCACAACAGAGCACGTCGAAAATTAGGCTGTATTGCTGTCAGTGTTATCGTTGTCTCATGTTTAGCAGCTTTACCCCCCCCCCCTCCCCGATATGTCTCATGTTTGCATACAAATAAAGAATTAATCCAACAGTCTGTAGAAGCTAGCAGAGTCATATTTGTACAAAAAAAAACTGCTAGTATGACAGTACCACGTCAGTCCACATGGGTCGTTGGCTTCCCACAACATCGCTCCAATACTTTTCAACAAATGCTCGTTGTCTGTGAGGGGGAGCACAGGGGGAGGCTAAACAGCACTGTGTTTTACGACGGTGCAGTTTCACTCAGACACCTTCAGTAGGCGCCACAATTCCGAATTCCTAAACACTGTAGCTTTAAAGTTAGGCATTTAAATAAGGAACCTGATGGGGATTGTCTCGCTCTTGGAGGCAGCCTCAAGTGTCCATTAGAGTAATTTAAGTTTTTTTTTGTATTCTACTAACGGCCACATTTACCAGCCCTTGAGCTTGTAGCTCTAAAGTAAGGAGGTGGGTAAAAAGATGTAGAAATCCTCTGTTACCAATTGTTTAATAGATAGAACAAAAGCATTGCACTACTCTCCAAAAGAAGAGAAAGATGCCGGACTGCTGTAATACAATAGTTTGTTCGATTAGATTTGGGAGAAGAAATGGAGGCTTTCTTTTGAGGAGTCGACTGTTTGTTGAAGCTGCAGACTCATCCACCCACACAGTTTGTTTTTATGGTCATGTTACCTGATAAGACCTTTATTCTTGAAGATGTGTGGGTGAGTACAAACACCTCTTGAGTGAACTCTCCTTTACTCCCTTGCAAGTTTCGCACACCTGTTACAGGAAGGAGGAATAAATGACCTCATCACCTGGTGTTTGGTCTGTGTATATTTGTTAAGAACATGTTCGTATTATGGTTAAGAAGAGCCTTACAATGCAAACTCTCCGCTTCAATTAGAAGGAAAACTATTACAATCTGAGCGACAAGGAATCAGGAATAAGAGTTCTTTCATATTGAGGACTGTCCTTTATTCACCAAAAGTTACTGGACATCATCTCAAAGGCTGTTTAGGTTTGTCATGATACTAAAGTCTTAAAAAATTAAAGTCTTAGGAACCCAATATTGCAGGTTTTTTTGGGGGGTTTAGATTAATTGCAAACAAACACCTGCAAAGTGTCTAAATTGCACAGGTTTATTTGCAATGTTTAGGTACTGAAACATTGCCAATGTATTTGTGTAATTTAGACAGAGTCCCCTTGTCTGCTCCTCTGACCCCAACGTGACCTCCTACCTCCCCAAAAGAAAGGCACAAAATACATTTTTATGTCATTTTTTGTGAATTTGATTTATTTAATCAGAGCATGAAGGTCTTTTACGTCTTTTATCGCGTTGTTTCCTCCCTTAATTGACAACAAACAAACAAAAAAGTGAAGAAAGCTATGTTGAATTCCTTCCACAAATCAAACACAGATCCGCATTCCCCTTTACAGAAAGGGTGGCGTTGTTCACTCGGAGAAGCCGATATCAATCAGTTTTCCGGCCGTAAAAGCTATTTTGGGCCGGCAGAGGCCTGTCATGAGGGATGCCTCCTGACGAGTGACTCATCCCAGACATGTACACCCAGGGCGATGTGTTTAGAAAAATACCCCGAGCGGGACGGGGTTGCTCTTTTTTTTTTCTGGGAAGTGGGAACACTCTGGCACCAACTCTGTGGTCTGTGTTGTCTCAGAATGACTCACAGAGCTGCGACGTCCAGCGATGCCTCACTGCAGTGATGCTGGTCACCGCAGTCTTCATGGACCTTTAGGTTCATGGTCAGTTTGTGGAGAGAGTTTATTTACATCTTCTGTTCTGGGTCAGAGTAACTGTTTGAAGCGGCTTGGATAAGAATGTGAACGGGGTTTTGATTAGCCTTGGTGCATTTGTTTCAGTGTGTGATTCTTCTTGCCGCTGATTGTGTGCTTTGTTCTTAACCGCATGTGTCAGTGAGGCACAATAAGACCTCAGTGCCAGCTCCCCAAGGTGCCCGTTCTGTCAGGCTGTAAAGAGCAGCAGTCACCTCCACAGGGGCACAGAGGGGTCCCAATGCTGACATTACCACACACACACAAACACACACACATGGCCAGAGAGGATCAGAGAGGAAGGGAGTGAGGAGCATGAGGAATCCCTTCACTGACATCACAGAACCCACAGTTCACAACACATATTCTTATTTTCACTATTGATCACTCTTCTTTTTATTTTGTTTTATTTATACAATAAAATGATGAAAGTGAACTTCAGTGAAAACTCTTCTCATGGAAGTTACTTTGGTGCGTTACAAAACTGCGTTTCTATTTACATCTGGATATATTTATGTATCGTCATATAGGTTTATACATTTCCTGTGCTTGTGTACCCTTTTCTGTACAATACTATAACCCAGAGGTTCAATAAAACGAGTAAAGATCATGCTGCATTTTATTTACCCGTCCCTCAGCTGATACGTCACAGGTTTAGGAGGGAGAATGCGCGTATAGCTCCTTTCACACACTCGCTCTCCTCCTGGAAAAAAAGCTTTTAGATTTTTCAGGTTGGCAGTGTGTGTTAAACACAAACGGCCGAGCAAGAAGTCGGGCTGAGCCGATGTAGAAAGCAGCAAGTGATGTGAAGTTTGCCGCAAGTGAGTGGGCGGGCTGCAGACGCTTTTATCATGCAAGGGGAGCAAAAACCTAAAGCAACTTGTAACAGGATGATTAAAGCATCCACACAGTGTAAGGCGGCTTCATGCTCTTTCTGCATGGCCAGTATGTGCTGTTCCACTCTTTTGCTGATACTTTGGAGACACTCAGGAAAACTTAGCATTGATGAGCTGTCATCATGGGACAGGCCTTTGTTGCTTTGTCAGGCGGCTTGGATATGTTGCTTCTGCAGCTACCTGTCCTGACAGGGAAAATCACCCGATGTAAGGGACATATTTGAAAAGGGTCACCCTGGAAGATTTCAGGGGGAGATTGTCCTGTAATGTTCTGGAAATTATCAGGCGTTCCTGTGTGAATAGGGTTTGTACCTGACTTTATTTGGGGCTATTTCAACATAATACAATGACATAACTTGAATGCAACTTTATCCCAGAATCCCATGCTGAATCACAACTT